TAAAGCGGGTAAAGATTTAATTTCCTTCCTTGTGAAAGGATAGGATTTCTAGTTGACAGAGTGCAAGGGGTTTTACAAAGTGGGCTGCAGTTACTGAGAGCAGCAGCCGGAGAGGCCGGTACCGCTGCCCTGTAGCGTGGAGGTGGTCGGCGTTACCTGCACATCTCCTGTGCCACCTCAGCAGAAGCTTATCCCACCTCATAAAAAGCCTGATTTTTTTTTTTTTTTTGCCTGTTTTGTTCTGATTTCTCTATGTTCTATAGAACAGAACACATAAAATACTTTGGCTTCTGATGGCTGATGACCTAACCCCTCCTCTAGCGAGTCCTTGTTTCTTTTAGAGACTTTTAGCATTCAATACAAAACTGAAGCCCATGTCAACAGGAGAAACTGAGGGAAACTCAGCTCAGACTGGTGTAGCTCGCACTGTAGTTGGTCACATTGTCGAGTGTCCCAACTGCTGCACGGTGGGGACCCACAGAGATGCTTGGGAAGGTCACCCCCATGGTGCAGTGCACTCAGTGGAGTTGGCTGTCTTGCTTGTTGGTTCTTGAGGTTTTAACTGATATTGACCATCTAAATATTATTCAGCCATCAGAAATGTATTGCTATGAAAGAAATACGGTTTGTTAGAGAATACTGTGGTGGGGAGATGGTACGAGGTGACCAGCTGCAACTGAAGTTTCCTTATCCGTGTGCCTTGAAGACTGAGCTATAGGGATTAGCCCACCTCGTGAGTCAAGGAAAGCTCCAGTTTTATTCCGAGCTTCCCCAAAATACATGTTGCTGACCGTGGGGGCCAGTGCAAGGAGGTCTGACACAGGCGGCCAGCTTGATTTCATGGGGGCTACTGAACGAGCCTTAACAAAACTTGTTGTGTGCACTGCAGGATGGAAATAAAGCAGAGCGGGGACGGGACAGACAGACAGACGGCTGTGTGGACATTGTGGGTTTAGGGTTGCTCGTGTGCTGATGCAATCCACTTGCTGAAAAAACAGGACAGGCTTGGAGAGGAGCGTGCATCCGTGTATTTCTTGCAGCACGAGGATGTTACACCCGTTCTGGGGAATCCATGTGTTCATAAGAGGGTTGCCTGTCTATTCCGGGGTTGGCACGAGCCAGCTCAGCCCAGTGCAGAAAGCACTGTCCTCACTTGCTCTCCGGGGTTCTTCACAGTGGAAAATCACTGGGAGACGGGATCACCCTTGCCAAACTCCTCCGTCTGTGATGTTTCTGGACTGATCTTTGCCCCGCTGCCTGTCAGTGGGAAGGAGACAGAAGGCAGCGGAGAATTTGCCCTTTCGAGGTTCCCACTTGCCCCGTGCCCACTGACAAATGGCTTGAACGTGGTCTCCTGTGTTAATAGGAGGTGGTGTAACTCCAAAGAGGGGGTAACATGAGAAACAGCAAAACCCACGCAGTGCAGAGAGAACGGGGTGTGCTCGGCATCAAAAAGCCAGAATGTCTTAGACTAAATAGATGATAAAAATTTCCTTGATAACCAGGGTTGTTCCTCAGGAGAGGCTGGTGGCTGCAGGCAGCTGTCGGTATGTAAAGGTCGATGTCCTTTAGCAACTCGGAGCAAGGGCTGTTAAAAAAGGTCTCCGAATAGCAACGGTTTGGCCGCAGAAACGCTCAGAGCTCTAGGCTTGGCTGGGGCTGGAACTGAATTTTGCCAGAATGGGGAAACTTTAGAACTTTGGGGGTTACGGCTTGAGCACTGCGGCAACGTGGCAAACCCCGAGCCACCAGCGCAGACTGCCGGCCCTTGTGCAGCCCACAGCCGGAGCAGAAAACTGTGGGCTTTTTGCAGACCTTTTGAATTTTGTTTGCATCCTTCCATTCTTAGCCCTTTTTAATTAAAAAGCAAGACAAACCCCAACCTCTGGTGATCTCTAACTATGTGTTTTTAAGGCTGTGCCGCTGCGGCCCCTCCCTGCCCACACCCTCAGCCTCCAGCCTCTGAACAAACTGGCCTTATTTTTTTTTTTTATCCCAAACTATCACTTACCCTCCCGGGCTCCGGGGTGGTGGTTATTTTTGGGCTGGGGAGAAGCTAGCTGGGGCTGCCCTGTGTGGGTGTGGGCCCGGGCACCCTGTAATTCCATGGCCTGGGGCAGAGCTGACACCTAAAATTAGCCTCGGCTCCCCCCCCCACCCCGGCCCGGAGGCTCCTTTCCCCGGACCTGCGTTTTGGGGAGCGTTTCTGTATTTTTATTAGGGTTTTTTTTTTTTTTTTTTTTTGCTTGTTTGTTTCCTGAGCCCCTTGGCCTCGGGGCTGCACACTGTGGTCACCCCTTGTTTTGGGGCAAAATCCACCTCCCTCGCCCCCAAACTGGCTAAATTACAAAATGGCGACATTGGCTGGTTCTACAAGGGGGGGGGGTTGTCGGTTATTGACGGTTTTGCAACTTTCGGGAGCAAAACGCTAGCGCGGTGTTACCGGGCGGAGAGGGGGAATAGCGCTTTTAGCAGCTCTCCCCTCCTTTCCGCGGGGGGGGCGTGGCTCATCGGGCACCGCCCCGTTGGGTGCGCGCCGGCGCGCTGCCATTGGCTGGACGGGCTGTGACGTAGGGGGACTGCGGTTGTTCCGCGGGGCCGCGCCGCGGCTCCGTTTGCGTCGCCTTAAAGGGGCCGCGCTCGCGGCAGCCCCGGCAGCGGCGCCGGCCCCGCCGTACCGGAGCACCCACCGGGGCCCGGCCCCGTTCGCGGCCGAGACGCCGGGCTGCCTGCGGACCCACCAGCACCGGGGCGAACCGGGCGCTCCCGGCAGGTTCCGACCCGGTAAGGAGGCTCCGGGGGCTGATCAGGCGTGAGTCTGTACAGGGGCGACCGGTGCCGGTACCGGGAGGTGCCGACCTGGCAGGAGACACCGGGAGACGCCGATCCGTTACGGCTGGTGCCGGTAGCGGGAGATGCCCGCTCGGTGGGGGTCTCCGCTGGCTGCGGCGGCTGGTGCCGGTACCGGGAGGTGCCGATCCGGTAGGACACTGCGGGGACCGGGGCGGCTGATGCCGGTACCGGAGGGTCCCCACCCGGTTGGACTCTTAGAGAACCGGTGAAGCAGGTGCCGGTACCGAGAGATGCCGACTGGGTAGGAGCCTCCAAAACCCATCGTGCATGAGTCAGCCCCGTTTCGGCTGTCACCGGTACCGGGAGTGAGGCAGCACCGGTCCCGCTCCCCGGGCAGCGGGCTGGGGTGTGCCGGTACCGGAGCCGGAGCAGCAGCCGCTGTCAGTCCCGGCACCACCGGCCGCAGGGAGCTGACACCGGGCTGGCCCCGGCGGGGATGCGTGTGCCCGGCACCGCGGGGCGATCCGGCAGCCGGTTTTGGACTCCCACCAACCAGCCGCCAATCCGGCACCCGCTGCCTGCTAGCCACAGCATTTTGGGGCCAAAACCACCTGTTTCAGGGTTTTGGTTGGGTTTTTTGTTTGTTTTGGGTTTTTTTTGGTTTTGTGTTTTTTTTTTTTTTTTTTTTTTTGTTGCAGAGCAAATTGCTCCGGCCCTGACGGCTGCAGCGGGAGCCCTTGGCTGTGGTAACGCTGCGGCTTCCTGGCAAGCGGCAAGAAAAATAAACACCATTAAAAAAAAAAAAAAAAAAAAAGGAACATCCCCATAACCCGAGGTGACCGGCTGCAGCCAGGCGGGTGGGGAGGGTGTTCCCATTCCCATTCGTCCTTTCCCGGGGGATTTGGGGTGAAGCAGGAGCCGTAGAGCACAAGAAGGGGCGAGGTGACGCCTCAGCATGTGGAAGGGGGTCAGGGCTGGCTGAGACACCCCTCCGAGCTCTGCTGTTGGGTGATTTCTTATTAATTTGCTCATTTGCTTCTCCTTCGGGTGCTGTGTCAATGGCCAGGGGTGGGAGCAGGTTGGATTTTATTCCAGGAGTGGCAAAATCGTGTCGTGATCCCGATGATGTGCCTGATGGTGCCGGAGAGGGAGGTTTTACCCCCGTTTGCTTTGGGGGCAGCAGGGCTCTGGCCTCTTGTTTTGCCCTTAATACTGTCCTGGGGGGTGGGCGAACGAGTTTGCCAAAGGTCAGTGGTTGGGGTTTGAGTTAAAATTAAAAAAAAAAAAAAAAAAAAAAAAAGCACGTTGTACACACTGGAAATGTCAAATGGATTTTTAAGGTTAAAAATTACAAAAACAAGCAAGAGCAGAGCACGCCGGAGGATTAAAACCAGCCCAGGGGCTGTGCCTGCAATTGGGAAATGCCCCAGTGCCCCCTCGCTTTGGAGGCTCTGCGGTTCCCAGCTCTGAAATGGGGTGCTGATCCCCGGCCACGCTCGCTTGCCTGCAGTGGGGGTTCACGTAGGGCCTGACCCTGCGGGTGCGTAGCGCAGCGCTGCTCCTCTCCGTGCAGCTTGTCCCGCGCTGAACCCGTTACGGGATTAAGCCCGAAATCGCACGGGGACACGCAGCAAGAGCCGATCTGCAGAGATAACGAGGGCAACAAATATTGCTGGGCTTCAGCTTTTCCTCCCTAGGCCTCTTCAGAGCAGAAGGATCCTGGGGATGGATGGAGGACGAAAACATTGAGATTTTGGGAATAAGCTACCCTGAGAAATTATTTTTGCGGGGCGCTTAGCAGCTCACCGCTTTTATCAAGCATATTTTGATCCTCATCCCAAATTATTTGTTTAAGCCCTTGCGTGTGACATGATTAATGAGGAAATATCTGTTTTATTTTCTGTTTCAACATTCAGGCTTTGCATAATGTTAGGAAGCGCGGCCGCTTTTCTTTTGTTTTGGAGGGAGTCCCTTTTTTGCAGAAGGTGGACGGACGTGCTCCGGGGAGGCAGCCGCTGGGTGAGTCATCTCCGCGCAGAAATAGCTCTGCTGGGAGCCGTGACACGGTCCTGCAGGGATTTCACTTCTCCCTGCTCCGGAGGGAACCGGCTGCTCCATCCCACGCCGCTAGCCCACGGGCACTGCCAGCTCCCGGCTGGATTTAACGGGGTAATTTAGGGCTGGGAGATTTGCAAAGTATTTTTTTTTCTCATCTCCGCTCCCCTCCTGCGCAGGGCAGAGTCAGGGTTTGAGGTGGCTGCTGCCAGAGCCCACAGCTCAGCCTCCTTGTCTTTAGCTGGAAAGGATGAGTGGTGGTTTATTACGAGTCGCTCCTAATGCTGGTATTTCCCTTTTCTGTATCATAAGGGGAAAACAGCCCAGGGGGGAAGGATGTGATTTGCCCAACAGCCCCCACAGGACAGCAGTGAGTAGTCCCATCCCAGACCCTTATTCACCAAATAAAGCTGGCTTAGATTTTAATTTCTCATTTGCAAAAAAGCAATGCACATTTTGAAACAATTAATAGCAGTGTTGGGGATGGCCGAGAGCAGGAGGCGGCTCTTGCAGAAGCATTTTAGGGATGCTCCGGTCTCCTGCCGGTAGATGGGGGCAGCAGTTGTCCAAGCTGACTTCATGGAGTATCATTTCCCTTAGAAATCCTTTAGAAAACGGTCCAGTGGCCTCTCTTCTCCCCCACAACCCACGCGGGAGAAGCAGCCAAAGGGGTGCTTGGCTCAGAGCCCTGCACCGGGGGAGGCTCTGTGCGGTGGTGGTGGCAGTGCTGGGGACACCGGGGCAAGGAGCCTGGCGAAGCAACTGATTTTGTTCTCCAGCCCTTGGGAGCAGCTGGATTTATCCCTGCTGGGGCGGTGGGTGCCCACGGTGCTTCAGGGAGAGCAAAGTGCTGCCGAGGAGGTGGGGAGGGGAGGCCAGAGCTCGCAGGGAGCTCTGCTGAGGAGAAGTTAACCTGAGATCGGGGTGGCTGATGCTGCTTCCAACCTCCTGGCGGTCAGCTCTCAAAGGAGGCAGAGCTAAAATAAGCCAGACGAGACCAAACGGGCTTTTCCCCAGCTTGTAGGTCAGTTTTTTATGTACATAACAAAATGTTAATTCAGGAGAGGTGGCTAAATGGAAGGTGTTTGGGGAACCTCAGCTGAAAAGCGCTAAAGGGACTGTAGATTGCATGGAGGTTGCTGTTCGGGTCTGTGTTTGACCTCATCTGCCCGAAATCCAAGATGTGTGCTGTTAGCCTTAACTGTTTTACAAAATGCAAAAACCTTGGGCCCAGCAGAGCTTTTTGAGGGGCGGGTTAGCTCCCCGTGTCCACAGCATCCCTTACAGCTACCCGTAACGGCATGCACAGGGTTAACCAGCCGTTCCAGGGCTCTCCCTGTGCCACTGCAAAATCTCCTGAAGGCTTAGACCCAAATTATTTTCTCACTGCTGGCAGCTTTTTAAAACATAATGACAAAAATTACAACTACTCTTTCATGTTTAATCTTTTTTTCTGTTTCTCGTGGTTTAGACATGAAAATCTTGGTGGCTAATGCCACTCCCAGGCTGGCTGTAGCATTATTTGGCTTCAACTGATGTCTGTAAATAAACGTCAGCTTTTAATGGAAGCTTCTACAAAGAAATAATTAGTGTTTGGTTTAAAGTTTTCACAAAAAGTCACTTTTACAAGATTTCACCCCAGGGTTTGATTTTGAGTGCCCGCTTCCTTTTGCAGTATGCCACCTTCGAGTTGCAGTTGTGGTTTGTTATTTTAGCAGAGTCATGAATCGCATTTGTGCCCAAAATAGTTTGATGCTGGGCTTCAAACCAGACAAATCCCACACAGATCACCTTCAGCTGAAAAACTTCCTGTTATGCTGATGTCAAAAAAAAAAAATCACTGAAATCCTCCTAGCCCCAGCTGGAGGATTTTAACTGGTGCCCAGTTAAAATTGTCTGTGTCCCAGTGTGTTATTCTTCCCACTAACCATCCGGCTGAGTTTCCAGCCGGGTTTGGCTGCGAGGTTGGGGTGGTTTTTTTTTGAGGTTTCCCATCGCTCTGCTCTGATGGTTGTGGACCACAAGAGGTCGGCAAAATTCAAGAGACGTAACTCGGGCTCAGCCTTCGCTCTGGGGCAGCAGACTGGCACATCCTCACCGGCGCTGCCTGGGCACCCGCTTTCATTCCAGGATAATTACTCCATTAAAAGAAACACCCCAAACTAATTATACTGGAAGAAAATCAGGGCAGTTTTGGAACAGGGCATGTGTTGCCCGGGTTTATTGCCGAGCCGTTGTGCTGGCTGCTTTCACATGTGGCAAAGCCCGGGCGTTGGGGGGAATTAAGAAGGATCAGAAGCATTAACCGGGCTCTGCCCGCTCACCCCGCTCTCCGGAGACTCCTTTAATTCCTCCGTTCATGGTACGAAAGGTCCCAAGCTTGGGAGTTCGCTGCAGGACGTAGAGCCCCAGCCGTGCCGTTTGGTTGCCGTGCCCAAAGGCGGCAGCCGGGGAAAGCTCAAGCCATTAACCAAACTCCCCCTTCTTTGTGGTTTGCAGCCAGGAGAGCAGCCCGGCGAGCCCTAAGCGCTGCCTTCAGCAACGCGCTGCCTGCAAAGTGATGGTCTTAAAATGAAAAGGTGCTGTGAGGGCGTTGGGCTGCCATGCCTGTTTAAGGTCAGTGCCGTTCTCACCCGTCTTGGCCTCTCTGAACAGGGTTGTCCCCTCTCTTCTCAGGGGCAGGGAGCAGGAATCGGGTCCCCATCCCGCAAACCTCTGGCCACAGGCAGCACGGGAGGTGAGCGGGTGCTGCTGGGGCCGCGGTGGCTTTAGCTGAGGGGAACTGGTGGGCACTGGGAGGCTGGTCCGGGGCTCACCAGCTTTGCACCATGTTGACAAAGTGGAATTACTGTGGTTTTAGAGCAGAGCAGGAGGTGGCTCTGAGTTACCCCGAGCTTCTCAAGAGCCTAAAGTGCCTGCCGAGCCCAACCCAGGGGGAAACTGCATCTGGGTGATGGAGCAAAAATCAACCTGCAAAATGTTTTCCTCTGTCAGGGTCAGACTCATCCTGGCAGCAGGAGGGGGTCTGCAGGGACACAAACCCCTTTTCAGAGGTGGGAACGCAGCAGGTTAGGGGTAAACCACCCCCTCCCCAAGGACCCTCCCTGCACAAAATGCCGCGAGGTGCCGCGTCCTCTGGGAGGACGTGTGTGGTGGTCACTTGGCACAGTGACTGCCTTGACTGCAGGAATGGGATTAGCGGTGACAAAATGATCTCTTTATAGGCAGGATAAACGCCTTAGGGCCAGGGCTGAGGTATGTCAGCAGGGGATTAGCCCCCCCCCCCCCCTAGCTGGGCTAAGCTGCCTGGGGGTAAGGTAGCCAAGGGGTGTTACTCTGCGGGGCTGGCAGCCTCTTGCTGCTGTGGTTACCACTATCGCTGTGCCAAGGCTGAAGCAAAGCGCCTGGAACTAACGGCTGGGCATTATCCTTCCACCTCGCAGGGTGTTGGTATGGCCAGCCCCCGGCCTCCCAAATACCTCCTCGTCTTCGATTTCGACGAGACCATCATCAATGAGAACAGCGATGACTCCATCGTCCGAGCAGCACCGGGGCAGGCGCTTCCAGAGCACATCCGACAGACCTTCCGCGAGGGCTTCTACAACGAGTACATGCAGCGCGTCCTGGCCTACATGGGGGACCAGGGGGTCAAGATGGGGGACTTCAAGACTGTCTACGAGAACATCCCCCTGTCCCCCGGCATGCCAGACCTCTTCCAGTTCCTCTCCAAGAACCACGAGCTCTTCGAGATCATCCTCATCTCTGATGCCAACATGTTCGGCATCGAATGCAGTCTGAGGGCAGCCGGTTTCTACTCCCTCTTCCGCAAGATCTTCAGCAACCCATCTGGCTTTGACAAGAGGGGGTACTTCACCTTGGGGCCCTACCACAGCCACAAGTGCCTTGACTGCCCGGCCAACATGTGCAAACGCAAAATCCTAACAGAATACCTGGCGGAGAGAGCCCAGGAGGAGGTGGAGTTCGAGAGGGTCTTCTACGTTGGAGATGGTGCCAATGACTTCTGCCCTTCCGTGACTTTGACTTCAGCTGACGTGGCTTTCCCGCGGAAGGGCTACCCCATGCACCGCATGACCCAAGAGATGGAGAAGAAGCAGCCCGGAGTCTTCCAGGCCACTGTCGTCCCCTGGGAGTCAGCTGCAGAAGTTGCCCGCTACCTCCAGGAGGTCCTCAAGAAGAAATGTTGAGGATGGCTTGGAAGAGACTTGCTTACTAGAAGCAGCTGGGAAAGGAGAAGCTTGGGGGGGTCACGTCCTGTACCCCACACTTATCAGCACTGCTCGCTCAGCCCCCACTCGTGGGTTGCTTTCCTGCCTTTCCTCTCCGAGCTCCTTTCTCCCTGGTGATTAAAGCACTTTTTCTAGGTCCCCCCCCCCCCCCCCTTCTCCTTCCCTTGCCATGTTGAGATGAATCCTTCTCTATGCAGCTCGGACATCTATTCCAGCATCAGTGTTTACCAACACTAATGGTGATTTTTTTGTTGTTGTTTGGTGTTTTCTTTTTCTTTCCCTTTTGACTTCACAAGAGCAATGCCCAAAAGACCAGAAGCTGGCTCCCTGCGGGCTGGGCCCTGCACATGCTTCCTCCTGCCTTCATCCCCCTCACCCGCCCGACCTGAGCCGGCTACGCCAGGAGCTGAGTGCTGTTGCCTTGAACCTGATGCTTGAGGGCTCCTTGCCTCTTTGCGAGCCCACTGGAAATTTAATCTGGGAAATTTGTGCTGCCCGGGCTCCCTGGCTTGTCGTCTGCACCCTGCCTGGGCAGGGCAGCCCCTGGCTCAGTTGCTGAGCCTTCTGATGGAGTTAATTATCCCTTGAGACTTTATTCCCTAAAAAACCATGAATGAAGAACAGGAAACCTTTTTGGAAAGGTGGTACCTTGGAAAAAAACCTCCTCTAGCCCATCCCCACCCACTTGCCCAGGGCACGGCGACCGCATCCCACTGCGAGGAGGAGGAGGAGGACCTGCCCTTGCCTTCCACTTCCATCCTCTGCTTCCGCTTCCAGGGCACAGTGGCCCCCACCTCCTCGGGGCTGACAGGTTCCTCCTCGCCCCGAGCCATTACCAGTCATCTCCTTGTGTTTACTAAATCTTGTCAACTCCCCTCTTGCCCCCCGGCGGGGGGGAATTTCCCTCCTGACCTCTCAAGAGGTGCCAAACCTCCCCCGGGGAGGGGTGGTGCTGTAGCATTTCTCCTGGCATATGTCCCCGGAGGCCAAACACCCCTTGTACCCCCGTTGCCCCGCTGCAGTATTAATTGCCCCTTCTAATTGCACTCTGCAGGGGGGACCTACAGTATTCGCTGCTCTCTGGTGTTGGCTTCTCCTGGATTTATCCACAGCCTTACCGGCCCCTGAGGGTGGCTCATAATTCCTCCAAAGCGTAGAAACCCTGACAGCAAACCTGAGCAGTAAGGAAATAACCAAAGCAGCCCTGAATTGTTCCCCCTCTATTTCATTTTCCTCTTCTTTGTTCTTCCTCCTCCGGACCCTGTTCAACTGTGTGGAACTTAAAGCCATGGAATTAAAAAAATACATATATATGTATATAGATATATATCTATATATTGCAGATACAAAAAGTTGTTTGTATCCAGGACATAAACCTGGGTGTGAAACGGCTCTCTTGAGTTGCACGTATGTGGTGTTTCTCTTCCTTGGGCTGGTGGAAGCGGGGGGGACAGCGTTGGAGGGGGAGCAGCAGAGCAGGGCCAGGCTACAAGCAGTGCTCTGCAGGGGACCCTACGGGGACCCCTTTGGCGCAGGATTGGGCCCTGGCTCATCCCCCTCCGTGTCTCAGGGTGGTGGGGAGAGCAGGCAGGTTCCCTGGGGCCACAGCTGGCTGCTGCTCTCCTCCTTGGTCCTCTGGGTGTTTGGCCCCGTCTCCTGTATCTGCGCTTTGGTACGGCGCTGCCCTCGCTCCACCTGAGCTCAGACCTCTGCGTTTCCATCAGCCGAGACGGCTCCAGTGCCCCAAGTGCTAAACCTCCTGGGCACCAGCAGCAGCCATCAATTCCAAAAATAAAACGAGGACGGGAGAGAGGCCGGGCAGGGGGGATGCTGCCAGGGTGCGGCGGTTCCAGCGGCGGCACCCAGTCCAGCTGCCCCTGCGAGGGCTGAGCTGTGCGAAACCCCAGCAGTCAAACATTGAAAGGCAAAGCAGAGCCCTGCCCGAGCAGGATGCGGCCAAGCTGGGGGGGGGGATGATTTGGGTGGGGGGAGATGGGGGAGCAGCCCACCCCTGGTGCTCAGAAGGGCTCCACGTAATTGCCGGGGAAGAAACCTGCTTCCTCGCCCATGACACCCTCGCACCAGCCGTCCGAGTAGCGCCGCGTGACGAAGAGGAGGGCGCCGGGCTGGAAGGAGAGCTCGTTGTCCTTCTGCCGCGTGTAAGGGTAGAGGGCCACCACTGCAAGAGGAGGGAGAGAGGGGCCGTGGAGCCCAACAAGGCCACCACAAGGGGACAAGCCACCACCGGGAAGGGCAGGAGGGGTGGGGGGACGTGAGCCTCACCGTCCTGCCCTGTGGACCACGGCACCGCTCGCCATCCCAGCCCCGGCTGATGCCACGCAGAGCTGGGCCCTCGGTGCCGTGGCTGCGGGCAGGGGCTCCACCAAAAGCCCCGCGGCGAAGAGATCAGAGGGGATTTGGGGATCCACCGTACCTTTCTCCAGGTAGCTCTCCGGGACCCAGGGCGGGTCCTCTGCAGCGGGTGGTGGCGGAGGGGCCAAATCCTCAAAGTCAGGCAGAGCTGGTGGTGACGGTGGCTCGAGGTCATCGGGGGCTGCAAAATCCCCACGAAAAATCGATGGGAGATGAAGGGCTCCACGTGCAGCACCCCCATGTCCCCGCTAACCCCGCTTGGGTGAGCGGCCCTGGACCACCGAACGCTCACCTGGGGGCATGAGGTCCAGGGGGAGCACGGCCAGGTCCCCCGGTGGTGGCAGGTCCCAGGGGAGAGGCGGGGGCAGTGGGATGGCAGCCGCAGGCGGTGGGGAAGGCGCCGGCAGGGAGGGGAGCGGGGTCCCTTCCCCGGGGGCTGCCGGCGCTCCGCTCGAGCTGCGGGTGGAGGAGCAAGGCCGGGGGGGGGTTGGTTTTGCCCCCTCACTCTCAATATCGACACTTGCCCCACGCCGGGATGGGGTGCCACCCGCTGTGGTCACCAGTGTGGGCAGGAGATCCCGGCACCTGTGTGCAAACCCTGTCCAAACCCTTTCCCCACCCCGTGCATCGTTTTCCCCCATCAGGGACTCTCTGAGAGTATTTTTGGCTCTAGAGACACGCACTGCCCAGGGTCACAAATCTCCCTCTCCCCAGACCCCTATTTTTCATCGAACCCCCTTTGCAGCAGAACCTCTGAGCAGCAGAGCGATGGTGGCTGCCCCGGGCTCCCCCAAACCTACCCCCCCCAAGGACATCCTGCCCCCCCCCCACCCCAGCAGGGCCGGTACCTGACGGGTATCAGCGAGGAGGTGGAGGTGGCCGCGGAGAGCTTGTCCTCGGGAACCACGGGCGGCTGGATGGGCTCAGGGACGCGGGTGCTTCTCCTACGGGCAGAGCAGCTGCTGAACCCCCCGGCCCGGCCGGTGGCTCGGCACAGGGACGGGGCTGACACCCCGATGGCAGCAGCACCGGGTGAGCCCGCGGTGCAGCTCCTGGCTCCGTCCCCCCACCCTCGTCACCTGCTCGGTGGCACGGAAAGGCAAAGCCAACCCCCGCACCCATCCCCACCCGCAGCCTCACCCCAGGGTGCCCGCAGCCTGCGCCGTTGACTTGATCCCCTTCCGAGCCAGGGTGCCCGTGCGGGACAGCTGGGTGCTGTGGTCCTGCGGGCGCAGGGAGACGCGACGGGTGAGGGCGGCCACAAGCTGCCCCACAAACTCATTACACCCCAGAGGGCTCTGACACACCATCCCCCGCTCCCCCCCACCCCCCAGGAAGCAGCACCCCGAGGTCTCTGCTGGGTGTCGTGTCCCCCCCCCCCTCCAAGGGAGCAGCCGAGCGGAAGGAGCCGCCGGCGCTGCGGGGGCGGCCGAGAGGCGCCCGCCACCGTGGGAACCACGGCCCCAGCACTGCCACTTCCCCTCCAGCCCCGCGGCTGCTTCGAGGGGGGGGGGGGTTGCGCCTGCGAAGCCACCGAAACCCCCCGCCCCGTGGGCGCCTTCCTGCGCTGGTGGTTTCGGTGCTGGGAAAGGCACCGTGGGGGTGAGAAGCGTCGCAGCTCAGCACCGGCCCCAGCAGCGCTGACGGCCTTTGCTCAGCCTTGTGTGCCTCAGTTTCCCTTTGCTGTATTGGACCGTGTCCCCTCCCTCCCCATGCTGGGACCACCAAGTGCTGGTGGGATGAGTCCTGGAGTGGGCTGTGGGGCACGGACAGACCCCACTTCTCCATCGAGGAGGGGTTTGAGGCCACCTGGGCACCCATCAGTGCAACACTGGGGACCGAGAAAGCCCATCCAAGCCCCCTCACCCCTGTGGGACATCCTCCTTGCCCTGGGCTGACCTTTATGCCATGGCCAATGTCATCCAGGACGCTGAAGTTGAGGGGTTTCCTGTAGTAGGGCTCCAGGCAGGGTGGGCTGGGGGGGGCCATGATCTTCTGGTAGGAAGGGAACCTCTTGCTGATGGTCAACGAGCCGATCTCCCGGCGAGACACTTTCTCCTTGTGCATGTCGACCCTCTGTGGAGATGAGACTGTCCCCACCGTCCCATCCCAGGTTCTCCCCACCTCCTGCTGCCCCCTCCAAGTCCCAACAACCCTTCCCAGCCCTGTCTCCCTGCCCGTAAGGGAGCTGTTGCAGGGAAAGGTCAGGATTGAGCCTGAACCCCCTGGCCCAGCCGAAGCCACAGGGCCAGATCCTGCTCTGCTCCATCACAGCAGGGCAAGCGACGCCCTTGATGCCGCCACAGCGGATCTGGCCCTTCCTAAAGCAGGGGATGGGGGGACAGGGCAGTGGCGGGGGGATGTGTGAGCCTTGGCTGCCCATAAGCTGCTTTCCTGCTGCTTCCAGCATGACCACAGGTTCCCATCTCCTCCCATGGCTGGAAAGGCTCCAGGCGGCTTCTAAGTGCCAGGAAGAGGGTGGGTGGCCATGGGACTCCGCATCGGTGTCCCTCAGCTCTGGGAAGGTGAGGCCAGGCTGCAGCAAGGGGAAAGCGTGGCAGCCAGGCCAACACCCTGAGCCCCGTTGCTCCACTCTGGCTCCTCTGAGATTTTTCCAGGCAGTTGCCACCGTCTGGATTTGCAAGTGTCCATGCTGGAAGAACACTCCAGAGACCAGTTTCCCAGCCTCAGGTGGACTCATCCCTTCCATGATACCTTGAGCGACCCCCCCACCACCACCCAAGGAGATGATCTTGCATTTCCACTGCAAGGTGATGCTACGGGGGGGGTGGGGTGGGGTGGGGTGGGCTGGTGGGCTCTTGAAGCTGTGGGGAAGGAGAGTCTTCAGCCCCTTCAAGCTGCCCAAACCCCCTTTCCCAGTGCCCACCTCCTTCTCATGACCCAAACCCCAACACGCTCCGGCAACGGTCGGAGGATGGTCCCACCTGGGCCACGATGCTGATGTCGGCCTCCACCTTCCGCAGCTCGGCCGCCTGCAGGTCCAGCAGCCGGAGGAAGGTGGTGGCCAGGCTGCTGACCTGGTACGTCACGCTGGCCAGGGACTGCGTGCTCAGCGCCATCGTCTCCTCCAGCGCCTTCCGCTTGTCGCTGGCCTGGAGGGGGGAAACGCAGCCGGTGAGACGAGCCCACCCCTGTGCGGCCACCGTGGATCTTCACGCCGGGGTCACACGATGCTTTCTTCTGCTTTCCAAATGCATCAAACTTCCTCCGGCTCCGCTGGCGGGACACACGGGCACCCGGCAGGCAGCGGCGCTCGGCTTTTCTGGCACCAGGGATTCACCGCGGTTCCTCCCGGGATGCTGCCGTTTCGGCAGGTGCCGGAGCTGAGTGTCCAGCCGAGCCTCCTGCCACCCTTGGGGACAGCTGGGGTGCCACCAGCCAGCTACGCGTGGGACAGCCGGCCACGCCACCAGCTGTGCTGGGGACAGCGTCTCGGTTCTCTGAATAATTGAGCACGTTTCCCCTTCAGCTCTGCTCCAGCGGGTTCAGCCCCCTGGGAGCAGCCTTGAGGTCTGCAAAGCCCACCGGGACCCCTCTGGCCAAGACACCCTCCCCAGCAAATAGGACCAGAACAAGCCTTTTCCCTCGTATTTCATCCCAAAAGCTCCTGCCCCCCACCATTTCCTCAGTGGGGGCTAGGCAGGGAGGAGGAGGAGGGACGCTGATGGTGACAGAGCTTCACGCTTGCTCTGCGTGTACAGACACCCACCTTGCCTCTGCCCTGCCAGGAGGCACCTCTGAAATGCTGGGGACAGCTTGGGGACAGCCCAGGCAGGGCTGCTGAGCCTGGTCCCCTCCCAGGGCTTCTTTGGAGGCACCAGATCCTCCCTTCATCCCAAACCCACCCTGAGAGCTGAGCAGGAAGAGGGGAAACTGAGGCACGAGAAAAAAAAAAAAAAAGCAGCATGAACTGCTCAATAGGAAGCTAACAGGGACAGTCAGGCTCCCATCGCCGAGGGCAGCGCCTTCACCATCACCCACCAGCCACCCCTCTGGGACCACCATCTCACCAGGGCTCCCGGCTCTCCCCAGCATCACACCCAGCCCCAAAAACTGCAGCTCGTCCCCGGCTGTCCCCGTCCCCCCCCCCCACCTGCAGGTAGTTGCTCTCGCAGTAGTCGGCGACCCTGCGGAGGTTGCAGTGGTGGTCGCGCAGGACCTGCCGGCCTGCCGGGATGTCGCGCTGCTGCAGCTGCTCCAGCTCCGACATGGTGCCGGGCTCCGTTCCCACTTCCTCCCCGGCCGCCTCGGCGTCTGGTTTTGAAGCTGGTGGCGGTGCTGACGCAGGGCCCACGGGTGCCGCGGTGTCCCCGTTCCTCCACCCCCCCCCCCGAGGGGTACACCCCCCACTGGCACCTTCACATCACAGCCCTCCGGAGAGGCGGGGGGCCAGCAGGGAGGAAGCCCAGCGTGTCCCCAGCCCCACGAGGGATGGGTTGGGGTGGGGTGGGGGGGCAGCCCCCGGTGTAGTTGGGGGTCAGCCCGGTGGGGCAGGGGGATGAGAGCGGCTGCGAGGATGAAGGATGCGAGGCACGGGGGAATCGGCAGCGCAGGGTAGAGGCGAGTGAGTGAAAAAGATCCTGACCCCCCCATCTCTGCCACCCGCGCCCACCCTGCCGCCCTCCCAGTGGGTGTGGGGCTGAGCAGGGCCCTGGCACGGGGCGGGGGCAGCGATTCCCTTCCCTTCATCTTCAGCGGCCGGGCGAGAGATACAGGCAAGGGCAGAGCTTCCACTACGGGGTCCTCCTCCCTGGAAAAGCCCCCGGTCACCCCACTCATCATCGCCCCGGTTACCCGGACCTCGCTCAGCTCAGGGCACAGAGGGACGTGACAAGTGACCCCACGGAGTCACCCGTCCTTCCCTCGCCCGGGACAGCGTGTCCTCCACGCATTGCTAACAACACTTCACATCCCCACGGGTGAGACTGTGCCCAGAGCAGGAAATTCCCACTTCCCCAGTGCTTGGAAATCCCCCTCCACCCTCTCCTCCTCCTCCTCCTCCTCCTCCTCCTCCTCCTCCCCACTCAGGTGCTTCCTTGGGGCCTCCCGGGCTCTGTCCTCAGTCCCAGCAACATTACACCAGCCAGCCAGGAGCAAAACCCACGTTAAGGGCTTGGCCCTTCCTGAGCCCGTGACCCCACAGCACAAGGACGAGGGAAATGATGAATTTCCTCCAGCACCAGCCCAGCTCCTCACACCCCGAAGGAACGAGAGCCGCCCGTGCTGCTCCCAGCCCCCGAGGAGGCTGCGCCAGCCCCCCCGAAGTGCCCCCGCTCCCCTCCTCTCCATCCCCTCACTAAACTCAGGGAAAGCTGCTCCCGTTCCCACAGGGACCAGTCCCTCCACCCCACAGCCTCAGACCCCCACAGCAGGGGCTCAAAGATTTCACAGATGCCTCAGCCGCCCACCCCACAAAGCTTTTCTCCACCCCATCCTTCCTCTCACCCTCCCCACAGCCCCACCACAGATTACCCCGGGGCTTTGAGGCTGATGCCCAACACCTGACCAGCTTATTCTCCTGAGTCCTATTATCAGCTTAAGGACCAAAGACATCTGCTCCCCGCTGCCCTCCCAGAGAGCTGAAGGAGTCTTCAAGCTCGCAGCAAGAGCTCAGCTGAGGGCGTCTCCTCTCCGATGGATCCCTGAACGGCCCCAGCGCTGAGAGGGGCAGCCCCTCGCCCCCCCGAGGTAAGTGGCTTTGCTCCCTCCAGGTACAAATGGCATCGTGGGGTTCACCCGGTTTGAGAGCCATCTTCTCCGGGGGTTGGCAGTGTGGCTGTGCCCTGCTTTTTGGCTTCTCCCACTCTGCCACGAGCACCCCCCCGGGGGCATCAAAGGGGAGAGGAGCCCTGGGGACACACACCAGGAGAGCAGCTACAAAAAAAACAGCGGGGTGTGGGACACGCAAGCTTGACACCTTCCAAAGCAGGGCTAAAGGCATGTTTCAGCTTAATCACATTTACATTTTTTGTATTTAAAAGGTTGTGGCCAGGCTTTTAAACCCGAGTTTTAACATAGAAACACATCTCAGCAGCACAGGCCAGCTGTGTGGGAATCTCACCTAACCCTTGGATGGGCTTTTGTGAAAAAAGAGCTGGGCTTTTCCAAGCCACACAGCCCCAAAATCTTCCAGCAGCAACAAGCGATGCCTCTGCGTGCAAATAGGCGAGTTCACAGCAATAAAGGGGCCATAATCCCTGTTACCACTTACCTGGGGGGAAGGCACAAGGAGGGTCAAGAAGAAAAAAAAAAACAAATATATACTTAGTTCCTTAGAAAACCTGCACAAATGCTCTTGCCCAGACACGGGACACTAATTGGGAAGGTCTAGTCTGCAGACCTGGGCATCCAGCTTTTCTCAGGCCCACTCAGCCAGCCACTTCTTGTCTTTGAGGAAACAGCCTCTGTGGTAGCCAAGACCTCTTTAAAAACCAGGCTGGATCCTCCTCCGCTGCCCTCAAACTGCATCTGTCGCTCGATGTCCCTATCGAGAATAAGCAAATGGAAATCTGGTTACAGCAGATATTACAAGAAGGGGTCTGAAAGGTGCCTCCTTTTTAGCATCAGCCCTTCTCTCACCATGGGGGTAGCTGAGACCTTAGTGGTGTTCACAGTACCGTTAGGGCCGAAGCAGTAATACTGATGTGTCTTAGAAGCCCAGCTATACACTAATAATAAGCCATTTCTCCGTGGTTACAGGGCAAAATGGCTCAGGACATGACAGAGAAGGAGCTGCTGAAGATGGAGCTGGATCAACTGAAGAAAGAAGTGAAGAATGAGAGGCAAATGGTGAGTCTTCCACCTAAAACGCAATGGGGCTGTTCCCCAGGGTAACTTTCTGACCTGATCGTGCTGTAAAGAACCACGACCCTGAAATTAAACCTCAAACACAGGCAGAAGCATGTGCCTTCCCACCTCTCCCCTCAAGGCAAACGTCCCCCTCGGGCTCAGCCCCATGTCCCAGAGCCCGGGGGCTGCAGCCCCGCACCCGGCGAGGTGCCTGTAGCAACCCTGGGGATGCTCTCGGGGACATCCCGCGCTGGATGGGAGGTTCATGGCCACAGTTCCCCTCTCCCAGCCGCATGAACGGGTTTGTAGGGAGCTAAGAAAGAGGGAGCGCAGCTCTGCAGTGAGGATGCAATCCCATAACCAACATGGAACGTCTCCTTCCTCGGCAGGTCTCCAAGACTGGCAAAGAGATCAAGGAGTACATCGAGTCCATGGCGGGCGAGGACCCGCTGCTGAAAGGAGTCCCTGAGGACAAGAACCCCTTTAAGGAGAAGGGTGGCTGTACGATAAACTGACCCCGCCACTGCTGTCACTGCTGGGCACAGGGATGCTCCTGTGTGCAAGTCAGAACTGTCAGAAACCTGCTTTCCCTGTAGTCTGACCTCGGCAATGGGGAGTCCAGAACCAAAGCGTAGCACACAAATGATGGCAAAAGTAAAAAAAAAAAAAAAAAAAAAAATATATATATATATAGAAACAAAAGAGAAAAAAAATTACCCCACTGCCACCGGAGATGAGGTTCAGCCAGCTCGGCGTGCACTTTTGTGCTCTCACAGCTGATCTACATTAGGCTCCCTGCAAGCAAAACTTCTGCATTTTTATCAGTCAGCAGTAAACTGGCCTTTAATGAAATCTGTGTCTGGTCTCGGACTTCTCCAAGCAGCCCAACCCTGGAGCCGAGCCCCCGCTTGCTGCAGAAGAGCCTCCCAGCAGCACCTCGCTCAAGTCGGTTCCTCTCGGTGCCTGAGTTTTCCCAACTGGCACAGGACAGCAGGACAGCAACACCCACCCTGCTGCTCTGGGGCTTCCAGGGGTCTGACGCTTTATTCTCTTTATTCCTATGCATCCCTCCGGCTCGGGGCCGCCGCTGCCCACCGCTTGCACCCCCCACGCGGCTCGCATCGAGAGCAGGGATGGGTGGGCTTCACCCGACGCAGAGGAAAGCACGGGAAGGAGCGAGGCCCCAGGCAGCTTGCTCAAACCCTCACCCCGCCTCTCCGTCTCGCTTCCTCCCCTGGAAACCCCCTGGCAGCCGTGGGAAAGCAAGCCCAGGGCTGTCAGGTCCTGCCCGCGACCGTGGTGGCTCCCAGAACTCCTTCTGCTTCACCGTCAGCTCCTCTCTGCTGCTGCAACCAGGCCCCGAATGGGCAGAGGGGCTGCAAAGTCTCATCCCGCCGGTGACGGGGCTGACTTGGAGCAGGCAGTTTGGGGGACAGCAGCTCCCCGGAGCAAGACAAGACTCTCCAAGCCCTAAATTTAGCAATGCCGGGCTGTAATCCTCCTGCTCCCACGGGCAGCTGTTTTCTAGGACAAATTTTATCTCCCACTTGATAGAAAAAAAAGCGCGTTGGCTGGGGGGGCACAGCCAGCTTCCGAGTTCAGTAGGGTGATACTTCAGGGGAAGATTTGTGGGGGTTTTGGGGGGTGTTTGGATTTTTTTGGTCTTTTTAAATCCATGACAGCAACGTATTATCTTCGGGAAAGCTCTCTCAAACGTCCCCAGATAACCGACCCCAAACAGAAGCGGCAGCTCTGAGTCCCTCGGGTCCCTGCCGCAGGTTTGTCCCCATCCCTCTCCAGCTTCGCGCTACCCCACCTCTGCCAGGGGAAACACTCCCCTGGGGGGCTCTGCCAGCCTCTGCTCGGGGGTTGCACACACCCCACGGCAGATTCAGATGCAGCAAAGACAACAACCACCAACTCCAGGCGGGAACAAACCTCTCCCACGCGGTGTTCGGGAGGAGGCAATAGCGCAGCAAAGCACCCCTTCGGAAGGGCGCGGGGTGGCTGCGGGGGCTCTGGGAGCACACGGAGAAGGGTCTGAGCCCAATTTAAAGGCGGGAAATGGCTTTCCAGCCCAGTTGGAGCAGCTTTTTCCCGCCTGCTGGGCCAGCGCTCGGTCTCAGTAAGGGGCTTGGGGGGGGGGTCCCTGGGCGCTTCGGCCCCAGAGACACCCCAAGATGGAGGGTCCCTGGCAGAAGGCAGCCACGAAGAAGAGGCTTTTCCTCACCACTCCCCGTTACACCTGAGCCACAAAAGACAACAATAAAGGTTGTTTCGGTCTTTCCTGCAGACGCTCAATAAACCCGCCAGCTCCACCACGGCCTCTGTCTTTCTTGCGGCAGCGAGGGGCTGGCCTGAAGGGCGCGGGGAATGCTTCTGGCCCAACGGCGGGTTAAGCGAGGGCCGGGCTTTTGCGGCCGTTCCCGCGAGGCCTCCCCCAGCGCCCACCCGCGACCGCGACCCCCCCCCCCCCACGCCGTGGCGGGGCCGCGCTGAGGCGGTGTCGCGCCGCTAGAACGCGTGAGGGGAGCGCGCGCTCCCAGCCAATGGCAGCGCGGAGAGGCGAGAGTGTCAGCCCCCCGCGCCCAATCAGCGCCCCCGCCGCTCTCTTTGCCCCACCTCCCCCCGCTCCCCGCGCGTGCGTAGAGTGAAGCGCTGCGGCGCCCACGCACAAAATGGAGCCCGGCGGGGGCCGGGAGGGCGCGGGGAGGGGGTGGGGGGGGTGCCCCGCTACCGGCGACCCACGCCCCGGTTCACCGGCTGCGTCCCGCCGCGTTACCGAGAGCGGGCGGCGAGCGAAGGGCAAAAAGAACACGAGGTCCCACCGAGATTTGAACTCGGATCGCTGGATTCAAAGTCCAGAGTGCTAACCATTACACCATGGGACCGCTACGTACAGGGTTCCTTGCCGCGCCCTCAGTCTATCTCTCCACCCACGGGTGAAAAAAAAAAACCAACACAAACACCCCCCGTGGCGGGTCCGCGCCCCCCCCCCACTCCCACCCCCGTGACCTGGCTCTGCTTCCCACCCCTCCCCTGCTCCGGTACCGCCCGTGCTGGTGCGTCTCACCCCCATACCCCGGGCTTGGCCCCGCTCCGCTCCGCGCCCGGCCGTGGGTTGGGTTCGCGGGTGGGGGGGGGGGGGTGGGGATGCAGAGGGACCACCCCCGGGGAGGAAAATTCTATTAATTATTCCTACAAAGCCCGTGAAATCCCCACCCCCGCGCCCTTTGGGTGCTACCGGCCCCGAGGACAGGCCCCAGCTTCACTGCTACCACCCCCGCTCCCCGTCCCCAACCCTCAACATCCATTTCTCCCCTTTATTTATCTATTTTTCCCTCATTTTCCCCCCTTTCTCTATTTTTTTCCCTCTATTTCCCCTTTATTTCCACTTCCCCCCTTATCTGTTTTTTTCTCTATTTATCCCTTCATTTCTCCAATTCCCCCTTCATTTACCCCCTTATTTCTATTTCCCCCCTTTATTTCTACTTTTTCCTTTTTCCCCCTTTCTCTATTTTTTCCTCTATTTCCCCTCTATTTCCATTTCCCCCCTTAGCTGTTTTTTTTTTCTCTATTCCCCCTTATTCGTCTGTTTTCCCTCTTTATTTGTTTTTTCATCTGTTCCTCCCCTTTATTCCTCTATTTTTTCATCCCCCTCAAACTCTGGAAAAACACAGAACCATTTTTTTTTTTTTGCTTGTTTGTTTTTTTTTTTTTTTTCTCTTTATTTTTAAAAATGAAACAGTGGAGTAAAGCGGTTTGTGGCAAAAAAAAAAAAAAAAAAAAAAATAACCTCGCTGGAAGAGAAATGGAGCCCACGTCCATCCATAATCCCAACTCCACATCCAAGCCAACAAACTGCCTCACGCGAGGGGACAAGGGAAGAACACGGATTAGAAGAGGCAAGGAGAGAGGGAGGGGGAAAAGGTGAAAAGGAACAAATCAGCTGAAAAGAGGAAAAACAAAATCATTACAGGAAAGTACATTTTTTTTTTTTCTGAATAGCCTGAAATTGTATTGGGGCAGCTGCAGGGAGAAGCAACACCCTCGGGTGCACCCATCTGGTGGGTGAGGAGGTGCTGGGTGCTCCTGGCATCGGGGTGCAGTGATGCGACACCCCGAATTCAGCGCGATCACCCCCCTCATGCTGCCACCAACCCGCTGCTGCCGTCCTGCCCCAAAAAGCCACTGGAAAAAAAAAAAAAAAAAAAAAAAATAACCATCGACTGCAATTTCCCCAGCAAAAAAAAGGGGTTCAGCCCCATCAGGCTGGGGAAGTGAGGAGGATGGAGGTGTACTGCTGATGGAAGAAGTAAATATCCAAGTTCAAAAGGAAAAAAAAAAAAGTCATGGAAGATTGAGCATTCAAAAAAAAAAAAAAAATCAGTCACAACCAAACATTTCGGACTGCTGAGGTCTGGAGCTTTTACAACTAATGACCACTTTAAAGTGAAAAGAAAGCCCATAAATTCTATTTTTAAAGAACATTTTTCTTTGGAAAAAAGAGAGTAGTTTTTTTTTTTCCCCTAAACTACAGCATGTGGAGTTGCCACTACCTAGTTTTTAATCTATTGTCGCTAAGAGGTAGATAAACAAAAATGAATTGGTTATATATAAGGTTGTGCCCCTGGGTTTGACGTGCGGTGAAGCTGAGGGACTCCACAGGCACCAGCCGCTCGGGGCTCTCAGGAAATTTCGGGCTTCACGGGGGGTTTCGCCTCCTCTGGAGCCACCCTAATATTTGCCGGGTATCAATTTGGCCACGGGAGCCGACGGAGGCGGCAGTGACATGGGGGGGGGTGTCACGTTTAGGGCCAGATTTCCTCCTGAAGTCAAGGAACTTGATCCCGAGCTTAATCCAGATGCACTTCGAATGAACCAACGCAATTAACTGCTGGATAACAAACGCTCACACCCATTAAGGCCATTTTAAGGATTATTTTCTGCCCTGATTCCGGTCAATCCCATCAATTTCCCAGGATGATCTGCCGACAGCAATGGGAGCGCCAGCGAGCCCAGCGCCGTTCCCAGTCTCCCTCTGCTGGGGCCGTGCTCCGGATCAGCCCTTCCCACCCCAAAACATCAGCAAACTCCTTCCTGCTGGACTTGGCGTCGCTTTACAGAGACCGCTTCCCAAACTGGTCCAAAAAAATGGCTTCAGTTCTGGCGCACATCCCGACTCCTGGAGCTTAAATGATTAATTTTTTTTTTTTTTTTTTTTTTTTTTTAAAGCAAAAAATCCCTTTCGGTGTTAGATCGGGCTGATCCGCAGCACCCAAATACTATCCACAGTTCATAACCCGCTGCTCTGCCACACTGGCAGGGATGGGGTGCTGTCGTGGTCCGGCACAGCATCCCCTCATCCCCCAGCACAGCATCCCTCCACCGTGGTCCAGCACAGCATCCCACTGCCGTGGTCCAGCAGAGCATCTCACCGCCGCACCCCGGCACAGCATCCCACCGCCGCACCCCAGCAGAGCATCCCACTGCCACGGCCCAGCACAGCATCCCTCCACCGTGGTCCAGCACAGCATCCCACTGCCGTGGTCCAGCAGAGCATCCCGCCGCTGCCACGCCCCGCCACCGCTCAGAGAGGTATTCATCTTCAACAAAAAAAAAACCCTAAAGAACTCTGTAACGTACAAGAAGCCGCAGGGATCAAACGCACGCCCGAGTCAGCCCAGGGCTGACTTTTCAAGGGGTTCAACTCAGCCACTGTCCCATCCCACCACCCACCCGGCATCCTCCAGAGCCTTCCTCCTCGGCTTTCCTCTTCCTCCTCCACCACACAGCTCTCCCTACCCACCGGGTGTAAAGCCAAGATGCCAAAACTGCCTCCCCACCAGCCGAGAGGGTCTTTGCTGAGCTCGGGGGTGCCGGAGGCCGGATCCTGCCGTGGGGGGTGAGGTGAGGGACCCCCCCCCGTCCGTCCCTCGGGGCTCCCTGTCAGCTCTGAGGTAGTTTGCACGTGTACGTTTCCAGCCCGCAGCACCTGCACGGTCTCCAAAAAAAAAATTCATGATTTAAGAGCCTCTGGCTGTTTTTGCTCTGCTCTGGATCTCATCCACAATCACAAATGAATTAAAAAAAAAAAAAAAAAAAATACAAAACAAAACAAAGAAGAAAGGTGGATTCGACCTAACAGGGACACATCTCTCTCCTCCTCACACGCTGCCGATGCGGAGCAGCATTCGGGCATCCCAAATTCATTCCAGCCTCGAACAGTTATCGCCGAGCACCCGCTCCGAGGCCGCTTCCCAAGCGCCCAGTACATGGCCCGTGGCCGCCCACCACCAACCAGCAGATCGAAGCCTCCCGAGCTCAAGCACCGCTCGTTCCCAGTGCCCCATCGCCGCTTCCAGCTCCCAAAGCAAATCCATAACCAAATCCTGCACCCACTGGCCGGGAAAAACCACAGCCCGGCACAGCCCGAGCGGCTGCCGGGAGCCAGCGTGTTATAAAGATGCTTAAATATTTCTGTGCCCTCTCGGGAGAATACACGTTTCACAGGATCGCACCGATTTCATCCAAACAAAACAAAAAAGCTACAGCGGAAAAAAGAATTTTAAAAGAAATTAAAAATGACCAAAAAAAAAAAAAATCAGAACCCAAAAACACCCAACCCTCAATTACTAAGTTCTCTGAAAATAAGGAAGTTCCAACAATATTAAAAGCCTATGTTGTGTGGACCAGCAGGGGACAGGGAGGGAAGACCTACATCAATAGAAAGAAATTAAAGAAATGTCTTCAACTGTCTTATACCAAGTCTGCATTTCTGGTCTTTTTTTCAGAGTCTAGAAAACACTCAAAATAGTTGGAGCTAGAAATTAAAAGATTTTTTGTTTTCTAGCACTGATTAACTACCTGACTAACTTTTACTGCTTTTTTTTTTTTTTTTTTTTTAATGCACTAAAAAAATAAAAACAAACCCAAAACCTAATGCCCAGGAAAGATAAAATGTAGCTTAGAGGCAGTTTCTTTTCAATATTTACAATGGATTTTCCTCTAGTTTGACTCCGTAAAACCCTTCCACGCTCGTCAGCCGGGTCAGGCTGCGGGGAGGAAGCACAGCCCCGGCATCGCTGCTGAGCCCACAAATGCTTTAGCAGCCGAGAAAGTGTTCAGAGCTTGGAAGAGAAGAAACATTAGCTGGGATTTGGGGATTAATTTTGTTTCCTTTTTCTCCCTTTTCCTCCAGCTGAACGGCAAAAGAAGACTCCGATAGCACTAAAATGAGGCGAACCCCCAAATCCAAGTCTCTCCGTAGTGCGGCGGCGGCTGCTCATTCTGGCGATGCTCTGTACGGGATACGGCAC